GCTTTGTTGTGTGGACGGGTGCAGAGTTAATTCGATTTAGCGCTGCTAAATTCGACATAACCTGCTAGTGTAGACCAGGCCTTACATTTCACTTCCTGTAGGTCACATGTTTGCTCTCAATCATGTGCCCTGCAACTCACAGTTTTGAAGGGCTAAAGGCTGCAACAGGCACAGTGGGATGTGTGCATATACCCCAGTGCCCTGTTACCATCTCCTTATCCCCATATTATGAGAGAGGGAGAATGGAGGTTCCTGATCCACATTCTCCATACCACTCCACTTTTATCATGATCCCTCTTGTAAATGTCCTCGCTGAAATAATTAGTTCCAAACTTTTCAATCTCTCTTGATATGAGAGATTTCCCATGTCTGTAATTATTTGTGTTGCTCATACCATTAATTTTGGTTGGTCCTTTACCTATCAGTTGTGATTTCTTCCCCCCTCTAGCCCCCCATGAAGCTAACCGTTTTATTTTAATACTTTAAAAAACTGACATATCAGTACAGAAATCTATTATTCAATTATATTTATTTTGTATTGTCTAATATATCGATGCCTAGTTTGAGATAAAGCAAATGTATAATGTAATTTTCCATTTAGAAATGCCATGGCTGGGTGTTAAGCTGTTGTTGCTATAGTGAAACGGCACTAGCCTTGGTAACGAATTAAACTACTGTATGTTTGCCATAGTGCAACATAACAAGTCAATTTAGGTTCTGATCTTTGTAAATAATGAATGTTAAAAAAGTATTCAAATTTCACAGCTGCAAACTAACCTGCCTTTAGATGTGCCTCCAGGAATTAACAAAATGTTTATGCATGAGTTTAAGAACTTAATAGCAACTGCAGGAGCTCTCTCTCTCTCTTTTACTTTTAAGCTAAAACTTCATAGCAAAGAAGTATAATTTATGGGTAGGCATTTTTGTTCCTAACAAATTCCCAAAACATGCAAGCAGCACGGTTTAAAAATAAGCACCATTTCCTCAGGTGATAATCTTAGGGAACGTATAAAGGAAGTACCGCAGCATTATGCTTATAAATGCCTGCATTCTTAATGAGTTGTCTCATTATAGCTAAAGATGGCTCACCCAAAACTCCATCTAGAAAGCTTGGGGAAGGAGAGTAAAAGCTTGAAAATTATTCTGAATTTAGCAGTTGAGGTCCCACTCTCTATAAAGCCTAATGTGAAGATCACCACATGGTGGCTAATAAAGCATGTGCCTGATCAAACTCCAGCTGAAATCTATTTTTTTCCCCTTAACCTCTGAGGATAGGACAAGAAGCAACAGGCTTAGATTGCAACAAGGGAGATTTAGGTTGGACATTCAGAAAAACTTCCTAATTGTCAGGGTAGTTAAGCACTCAAATAAATTGCCCAGGGAGGTTGTGGAATCTCCATCATTGGAGATTTTTAAGAGCAGGTTGGACAAACATCTGTCAGGGATGGTAAAATACGGGGACAAATTGCCTAGGGAGACTGTGGAATTTCGGTGGGCTTTGGACAAGGTCTTTAGGAGTTATCTTTGCCTTAATCTCCTGTCTTTATAAAGTAAATGAATCAAAGTTAATCACAAAGTATTTTTTTCCAAACAGTAATAATCTGTGTTCCAAAAGAAAACAACTAACTGTTGTAATTAACTATATATCTGAATATCAGTCCTTAGAACACTTAGCAAATTAACATGTAGTGTGATTAATGTGCAAGTTAGCAGTATGTAAGTGAACAAGCACAATAAAAGAAACCCCAAGGATAATGCATCACAAAATGTACTTTGTTCACTTATTTTGACTGTAGTTTCATTTAAATTATTTCTAGTAATGCTTAATATGATATTAATTGGACTGAAGTGTATTTTGTTAAATTAATGTATCATGCACCTTTCATTTAATTTAGTAGCAAAAGGTTGCTCTGAAGTCTCATATTCCTGAGACTTATTCTTTATCACTTGGTTCTGCAATTTTTCACATGGATATTACATAAATGCTCACGCATGCTCACAGACTTGTCAAAAGCGAAAATGTCTTGCACTTTATGAGCAATGGATTTTTGGATGGAAGTGTCAGATGTGTCCAAACATGTCTCAGAGAACTGTCAGCAATGATAGTTTTGGGGGTAAGGAGTGCAAATAGGGTGATAGGATGATAATTGTTTTCATAGAGTAGTGGGGATTTATTTAAAAGACTTAAATAACATTTGGAAAACTCCAATGTGCTGCTGAGCATTTAAATACTGTATGTCATGCTCATAACAAAATGCCTATATTGTGTGAAATAATACAGCATATTCTTGGCACAGTGTTTATTTTCTAAACAATTTAAAGCATCATTGCCTATCTTCAGGGTGCTACTTTGTGACCTGAGACTCATTTCTCTGAAACACTTAAGGATTCCCTGTGTTTTCTTGCGCAAGCATTTAAATAAATGTGTATATATCTAATTATGACTGAAAGAAAGGTGGTTGATCAGTGAGGAAGTGGAATGATGAAATTTTAAAATACAGACCTTGATCAAACATCGGCTGTGTTGAAACAAACAATAAATAGGATCTGTCATTTTGTGAGCTGTGGAGCTAGTGTGCACAAGAAAGGTGCAAGTAAGATCAGAAGAGATAAAAGATGTGTAGCATACAACAAACAGTGTTTAGGGCAGCATTTTTCAGAATGTGGGGCACATCCCATTGGGGGAGGTCATCAAATATTAGCCAGGAGAGAGCTGACTGTCCTCTCAGCTATTCTTCAGCATATCAGAATATCAGCTGTTTATGGGTGTGAAGAAAGCTTTCAAAATATGACCCAAGTCAAACTGATGCAGACTACTTCCTGAATTTGCAAAGTCTCAAAAATTAGTTCTAACGTGAACTGCCTCATTCATTCCAGTGGATGCTAACTCACTCAAATGATGATTCTTTAAATCAGGGGTCAGCAACCTCTGGCACGGGGCTCACCAGGGTAAGCACCAGGGTAAGCCAATAGGGGCGACGGGAAGCTGCGCGGGTGAGGGATGTGCTGGCCGCAGCTTCCCGCCACCCCTATTGGCCTGGGACAGCGAACCGTGGCCAGTAGGGGCCACAATTGGCCAAACCTGCTGCATCAGCCGGTAAATAAACTGGCCCAGCCCGCCAGGGTTCTTACTCTGGCGAGCTGCGTGCCAGAGGTTGCTGACCCCTGCTTTAAATATTTACCTTGTTAACTATTTCACCATAATAAGGGAATTAAAGTATCATATTCTGAAGATCTACATCAGCATTTCCCACAGTGGGAATGTAGCAGGCCACAAAGGACTTGCCAGAGGACATGGAAGATGTATTAATTATACCTTTTAATAACATATAGTTGAGTTATGATGGGAAGCATGATCAGTTAAATTTCCTGGAAGGGGACAGAGTTCATCTTTCAAGCATTTGGAAACCACTCACTAGAGTGACCTGCCCACCACTACACAATTGCTATATGCAGGACTAGTGTTGCAAAAGCAAGGGCAGAAAGCCACAGTGAAAAGGAAGGAATGGATCCACAGCCGTGCTATGTGTTTCTATTTCCAGTGTGGTAGGGAAACATGCAAGGAATGGATAATATAAAGCTTCCCCAGGTATCTTTAGAAACTTCTGCTATCTGTGGTGTTGTCTCTGCATATTCTGTTTGGAGTGTCCGTCTTTTTAACAGCATTTGCAAATTGTTCAGTGTAGCCCTTATAATCTCCCCTCTTTGGTGAAACTGGTAACTCTGCTTCTTTATACTGGTAGGCATGCTCTCTTTTCATTATTGCTACCATTGTGTGTGGCGGTATTTTTTTTTTAATAACAGTTACCAACAACAATTCCCTATCCTTACAGGGTGGTGTGCTGCATTAGCCACCACCATTAGCCACTCCTGCTAGGTTATTGGCTGGCTTTGGGCATTTTAATTGTATGGTTGTGACATTGCAACATTTCCCACTTCAAAGTAGATTAAGGCACAACTTTTCTCGGTGTAATGCCCACTGAGAAGATGGGGGCCCAAGAGTATGAAAAATTATGGCTTAGGAGACAGATGGAAACAGAGGAAATTTTGAATGTGAAAGGGCTTTTTCACACTGTCAGGGAACTGTCTGAGAGGCTCATTCCCCACTGCAGTGGTATCAGGGCAGCAGATGGCACAGTGTTAACAGCACAGGACGACATCAAGAGCCACAGGAAAGTATATTTCAGGGAGCATCAAGGGACATTATAGACAGTACCGAGTGTGAGGCAATCATCAACAGAGCCATAATATAACCTTCACCTTTTCTGGCAGAGATTGAAATTGCAGTAAACAAGCTCAAACTGGGAAAGGCACATGGTACAATGTTACAGATGAATTCATAAAAGAGGCTGGCAACTGTGCACTCAGTGTCCTTCATAAAATCTGTCAACAGGCAAATGGGAAATGGGGGACTGGCCAAAGTACCAATGCAAATCAATCTAGATCTTGCTATGCCTCCTCCCTCTCTTCCCCTGAAACAACAACACATATTGGAAATTGCATGCAGAGCCAGGCAAGATGGGGGTCAGAATAGATTGACTAAGAATTGGGAGAGGAGAAAAAAATATATATTTTCAGCTAGAGACTTGAGCAAGATTTGAGATAATTCAATCAACTGCTCTATGTGAACTTTGTGATTGCAAGCGAGGTTGGGATGGTGGTATGCAAATTGAAGCAGCTTGTTTTAGTTTCTATACCTGACTCGATCAATTTAATTTTGTCAGAACTTGTATGAGAAAAAAACAACCAGCGCTGCACACGGAATCAGATAAGACACTATTGTGGGCCTGGGGTTTGAGAACAAATCTTTCAATTGAGTTAGATTTCTCTTCTCTTGCTATGTTTTATAATGTAAGGGCTAGATCCTCAGCTGGTGTAAATTGACCTAGCTCCATTGAAGTCAATGGCTCTGCGCTGATTTTCACCAGCTGTGGATCTGGTCATTATTGATTGTTTAAGGGCTTGTCTACGGCACTCCTTATAAAGAGCATGTATATAACTAATAAAAACAACCAGAAGTCCGGTGGCTTTTGTGGGTAAAAACCTCACTTCTTCAGATGCACCTGAAGAAGTGAGGTTTTTTACCCATGAAAGCGTATGCCCAAATAAATCTGTTAGTCTTTAAGGTGCCATCGGCCTTCTGGTTGTTTTTGTGGATACAAACTAACACAGCTACCTCCTGATATATAACTAATGATACGTTACTTATGTTTTATAAGCAAATGTCACATTAATTGTCTAGAAATCATTGTCAACAAGATGCTGAGTGCTGAAACTGGAAACTTCATTGTGCTAGTTCAGCAAAGCACTATAACAGGAACTAAAGTTTGGGAGGGGGGTTGTTTGTTTTCTCCAGCTAGCACATGATTTCTGTGTGATTCCCCCAAAGGTGAGGGGCATTGGATAGGAAAGGACATAGGCCCAGGAAAGCTTGGAGAATGCTTTAATGCCTAGCACCTCTACCCCTAGCTATGGAACTTCAACCACAATTTTAAACTGCAGTCTCCTGGATGGATGATGATGTCAACATTGCCTGCCCTTCTCTAGGGCGTTAATCAGCTGCATCCCTTCCTGTAGAAGAGTGGCTCTTCTAGCACAGAAATGGCACATCTCTTCAGGAAAGAACTGAGCTCACTTTCTTCATCTTTAAGATTTAGGGGATCGTATAGAAAAAGAGCTAGTGTAAACTTGGTTGATTTAATAAAAATTCACAAGGATTAGTTTTTACAAAATCATATTGTTTCATGTTAATCAAGCCTGAATGGGTTGCCACTACTTTGCAGAGGCAAACCCGGGAGTGAAAACCATTCCTTTCAACATCTTAATGTTGACTTCTGAGCTGGGGAAGATTCATAAAGGAACACTGGTGGTAGCGCAACAGCTGTCATGGACAAAACAAAACAAAATTGAATAGAATATATTGGAAGGCATAACATTTGCAAGTTTGGCCCTGGAGCTGGGTCACTCATTTTCCTGCATTTTCTTTTTTTAAAGCTCTTTAAAAATATATATAACAAGTTGAAGAACAAGTCATATATTCCCCCAGATGCTAGGTTGGCTGTAACTGTAGCTCAGAGTGCTGGAAGTAAAGGAACATATCTAATGTGCGTAATCTTTTAAGATGCACAATTCAATTGACGTGTTAAACTTGTCAGAAAAAAGGATTTTGAACATAAGGCAAAATTAGTGAGAGTCTACTGTGATTTTTTTTTTTTTTGTTAACCAGACCAAACTTTCAGAAAATGAAAGTTTTTCATCTCAGTGGATTTGGAAGAGCTGAAGGACAAGGATGAAATTCAGCTTGCTGTATCGCTTGCTCTCAGGCTGACACTTACTGACATGAACATACTGTCAAAACAAGAAGGAAAGCAAGGTTATGCAACCAATGGGGAAACAAACAATTACCTTCTGTAAACCCTTTTGAGTTGAGTCTATTTTCTGTGATAGCAGTGACCGGGAACTGTGAAGGAGGAAAGTAAGTAGAAATCAAATGAATACAACAAACAAAGCCCATGAAGTGGAAGATGGAAAAGGGCAGAAAACCTGTTCCATAGAGAAAGTAAAATAAGAATTTACCCAGATGCCAAAAATACACCCCAAAGTCTCACTTTAAAAAAGAAAAGAATGAAATATAAGCATAATAGTCTCACACCAGGCAACTATTCATTTCTTGAGGAGAGCATCATCTTCTGCATCCTCTCACTCTGTGTTGATGAGTAATGTCCCTTCAGGGCAAGTTTGTATCAACTTACACACCAGTTGGAGAATAGCCTTAATTAGGGATGACTGTAGTTAGCTATTCACCTGAAGCTGACAGGTAGGATTCAATAGACAGCTTGTTGCTGGTAGCCACTAACTAGCAATCCAGCATCCCAGCCCAAGATTTAACACAAATTGGAGAACAGGAGATATCTCTGGATATCTAGGCTACTACCCTCTCCATAGGAAGATGGAAGTGTGGCATGACATGGATGAGGACTTCCTTTGGGCACATAGGATGTCTTGGGATGTAAAGACACAGGCAGAATTCACCTATACTGGAGAAGTCTACTAGTGCTGAAGATTAGCTTCAGTAGGGAGCAAGGAAGTTGATGACCTCAGTTTGGGGATTTTAAAATCAACAAAATGTTAGTTATTAGAATGTTAATGCAAATTTAATGATGATGATTTATTGATAAGCGCTCTTTAAATCCACTGCTGCTTGGAGGAATGTCAAAAGTTAAAAATTCACCCTTATGCAGAAGATCAGGACAAGGTGCACATAGAACTTAAGTCCTGTGTAAGCCCTGAATGGGTGAGGAACAGAGATAGTATTAACTTCAGGTGAACACAGGAAGTAATACATTTTAAATGTAGACGTTTATGAAGGGCTGAGTCTTTTGTCACTTTTCTGGTGCAAAAGCATTCCTAGTTTGGACCCCCAAAGTGGATTGCAGATGACATAAAATACTTGTATATCTCACTACCTGATTTGCACCTACCACCCGGTAATTAGAAGTGGATGGTGTATTCAGATTTGCTCCTGCAAATCAGCTTGCATTTATATGGGACACCACCCTTTTGATATTTAGCCCATAGCAGCATGCTCAAGATTTAGTTTGAAATATATATTAACATCTTCATGAGAAATATGAGAGATTGATGTTAAATGAAATAAAGTCTCTGTGTTGCTCCAGGGATGCTTTTACAAATTGCAGTTTGCTGATGCTCAGTTAGGTGCGGTGAACTGATTCACTAGTAATGCTTCACGTACTGTTGTGACTATTTAGAATGAATAGATACAATGTGTCAAATATGCACTGTCAAAAAACAGTAGTTCACTGAAATTTGCAAGCCTACATAAAGCTAAATATTCCACAGGTTCGCCAGACTGGTGATTTTCAGTTTGTCATTAACGATATGTGGTAGTTTAAGGGAAACTTTGGTTGGTGGGAAATACCACATAATATGATCTAATGTTTGGAAATATGATATTTTGAAATTAGATGTGATTTTCAATAAATATGGTAATTTAATAATTTTGTCTCATTTTTGATACACTCAGTAGACCATGATTTCCTTCAATTTATTCATTATTTAAATGTACACAACAAACATACATTTTTGCATTCTTTAACTCTACAAATTGATCACGAATATCCAAAATTTTAGCTTTGTTGTCATTGAACAGATCAGTCATGCGGCATTATAGGGTCAAATTCTTAATGCTTATTAATCAGCATAGCTACACTGAACTGATACTAATTTAAACCAGTGACGATCTAGTCCTGTATCTATTTGTTAACTGAATTAAGAGGCAAAATACAACCAATATTGCCTGAACCTAGATCAGGATTTGAACTTTGAACTATTGTGTTTAAAAGCATATTGTCCACCAACTGGGCTGAAGGACTAAGCTTTTGAAAGTTCATTAAAAACATTTGCAAAACATTTTTGCTGTATTTTGAACACGTTATAGAGTGGTCAAAATTTTTCAAAAGTAATATATATATTATATATATATTATATATATATAAACCACATTTTTTTCCCTCTGACAGCTCTAGGTTGGATTTTGTGTTGCTGAGAGAGATGTTTTTGGAATGGAAACCATGAAAATCACCAGGGTCACTCACTTTCACATGTGACTTTCAAGGGTCAATGAGATCCTTAGCTGGTGTAAATTTCCCAGCCCTACAGACTTAAATTAAGTGGCAACTTTTACACAAGCCACAGATTTAGTCCCAAACCTCAAATTTCAATTAACCCAGACAAACTGAAATAAACACAAAAAGGTTAAAATGAAATCATTGTAAACCAAGAGTGCTGAATTTTACTTCTCAGTAAATTCAATATAATTCTTGGAGACACTGTCTACTTCAGCGAATGGCACTAGTCATAGCAAAATTTCCAGAGACGCATCATCATTTTCTGGAATACGAGGTCTCATTCTCCTCTCATCTATTCCAGTTACACGGTGGTGTACCTAATTTGATTTGCATTAAATTGGGTAAGGAGAGAGGCCAACACAGAGACCACATCACAATGAAGTTGAAAACAAAGTTTGTCTTCTCACTGCTCTCCCTTTATCTTTCCACTTTTTCATATCCTTTTGGGATCTTTTTTCTTTATATTGTAACATTGATACTAATTGTTGAGACAATACCTAGTCTAATTCCTAACACCTAGAGCCTGAACCAAAGCCCATTGAAGTCAATGAGAGAGTTAAGTGAGTTCACAACCAGAAAAGTATGACAAATGTCCAAGAATGACAAATGTAAGTAGGTGCTGTTTTCCAAAATCCTGTCCCATTTGCAATACTCTCCATTTGGAAATGAGAGAGTTGTTATATGTTTTGCCTTTGAATATTAGCATGTTTGTATACTAATTAAAAAAGTTAAAACTTCATGAGATCAATCATGACTCATCAAACTATGATTTTTTTTAAATAAAACATGGCAAAGCTAAATATTTAGATTTTTTTTTAATGATGTACATTCTCTTGGGCAGGGATTTTATCCAAATGTAGAGGAGGACAGAATCCTTGCATCTCCTTACTGCTCTCTATGAAGGCCTCTTTCCTTTAGAATGTTTTCTCCTTTCCTTCCCTGGTCCAAAGCAGACTCGATCTGTTGACCTTTCAGGCATACTGAACAACCAATCTGATTGAGAAGCTTGATGGAGCACTGAGACCGTGGTGGAACAGAAGATGGGCTGTTTCTTTGGTGTGTATGTGTGGTGGGAAGTTCAGGATTTAAGTCATGTTGGTCTACTGACTGGTAGTTAGAGGAGGTTTATTGTGGTGGAGAGAAGGTGGTGTGCTTCTGTTTTGAATGATCTATGTTATAACCTCTTTAGTACTAAGTTCTTAAATGTCTGTCAAAAGTGTACAGAGCTTTGGATGGGGGCCCTTCGTTGTTGTGTTATTTTTCTTAGATTAAAAATTAAAATAAAATAAATGCATAAATAAAATATTGGTTGCTATATACCACTTTCATAATAATGCTTTCACATCTGTTTGTAAGTACAAAAATATAGTCAATGACTAATTTCAGCAGCACTGAGGTGTCATATTTGAATCAGATTTAAAAAGTCACTATAGTAAGCTCAAAAGATTTATTTGAGCTTATTTACTTCTGATCAGTTGGAATTAGTAATTTCTGTATATTTTTAAACAGCTTTAAGTAATGACACATTATCACATCCAAAAATTCAGAAATATCATACTGAGCCCAAATTAACCTTTTCCCATGCCTACAACAAATGTATTTGGATTAAGTTTTAGTTTTAATAGCACAAGTGCAAATCATTGTTACTAAGATTTGCATACAAATTAAAATAAAGGTAAATGGCAGTTGAGATGAAAAATCACTTATTAAACATCCTAGTAAGGCTTTAAATAGCAATCACAGATATGTATTTCTTGAGGCTAATTAGTGTAACCTCTGTGTCATCAGTACAATGGCAATCCCTGTCACAATTTGGTAATATGATTGTGTTCTCAATATGAGTCTTCCAGTTACCCTTATTTCTTCTAAAAATATTTTCTGGTTGTGACTGATATGGCAATTTCCTTCAATTCCTGTGGGAGATCTTATTGTATTAAGTTTATGTATAATTATGGGCCAGGGATTGTATGTAATTCCAGGGGGGGAGGTAACCACAGCTCATACAGGTATTAAGAACAGTGGGAGATGATTAGGCAAATTCACTCAGTTTGCAACATCTCCAGAAAGATTCCACTACTTGGAGAAGCTTGCCTATACTGGTTCAAACTGGATTCTACAAAGAGCCAAAGAAAGGACTTTTGAATAAATAGCCTGAATTTAAATTGATTTAGGACCTTCATTCTGATCCAGCAAATGGACATGATCTTCTGTCCAAAGGGGGGCCTTTGTGGAAGGGGTGGAAGGACTTGACCTACCAGCGCCCATAAGACTGATGGGTGACCTCTAAGTTTTTTTGTTTTGTTTTGTTTTTTAAAGTATGTGTAGGTTCTTGTATTGTTTTAACATGGTTTCTCTATAATGCTTTCACCTTAAGAATACATATGCTTGCTTAGAAAGCTGGTTGGTAATTTGTAACCACAGATGATACAATAGTCTCTGGAGAGAGAGCAAAGGTGTAAATCCAGGGAACTGTGTGGCCTTAAAACTCTGGTCAGATAGGTGTGAAATGTGGAAGCAGGGAGGAAATTGTGCCTTAAAGGGGTGTTTCAGAGTCACAATTCTTCCTAGGGCTGTTGCTGGGGTAATGCAGTTAATGCACTACCCCTTGCTCAATGCTATGCATAAATGTATGATAGTAAATATAAAGAAGTTCCAATAAGTAATTCATTTTAGAAGATACGGGTACTGGATAAAGTGGTATGGACAGCCTTAAATGTTGTGGCAGGTGTGCTAATTTAAAATACATACAGTTACAAAAAAATTAAATATGTCAAGCTTTTATTTCCTGAATAGGCAGATAAGGTTTAGATAT